ATAGCTAACATTCCTTGGCCAGCGCCTTACAATGTATGTAGTATATTGTCCTATGTTTGTCACAGAATTCCTCGGCCAGGAATCCTCAGCTAGTTTCTTAATACTTAGAGGTAATATTGTCTCATCATTATGTACCTTATCACAGAATTCCTGGGTCAGTTTGTTAATACTTAGAGGTAATATCGTCTCATCATTATGTACCTTATCACAGAATTCCTGGGTCAGTTTTGTTTCGATTCCTGGGCCAGTTTGTTAATACTTAGAGGTAATATCGTCTCATCATTATCACAGAATTCCTCGACCAGTTATGTTACAATGTGGCTAGTTATATTACAATTCCTCCACCAGTTATGTTACGATTCCTCGGCTAGTTATATTACAATTCCTCCACCACTTATGTTACGATTCCTCGGCTAGTTATATTACGATTCCTCGACCAGTTATGTTACGATTCCTCGGCTAGTTATATTACGATTCCTCAACCAGTTATGTTACGATTCCTCATCTAGTCAGTGTTCATACAAAATTTTGAAATAGATGGTTGACTTGAAATGAACAGCCAGTTAAATGTTCACATGCTATAATGTAGATCTATATGATTTCAGAAAAAAATACTTTGTTCAAAGTTGATGAATAGCAGGCTACTTTTGCCAGCAACCGGCATTAACTGTTACTAATGTATTGTCTCTCATTACCAACACTTTCTTACGTAATACATCTTTTATTACATCTACATCATAAACTATCACTTAATCAAATATCATAACATAATTTGTGTTTTATAAATCAGAATGCCACATTTATACAACATGCCCTGATGACATATAGACAATCTACCCCGACAATAAAATTATCTTATTCCTGTGTAATAGGCTTATTTTGTGAAACAAAACTTGGGTATTTTTAAAAGTTCAATGCTTTAAAAAACAGGCAAACGTAAATTTTTAACAAATTCATTTTTGTTATCAAATGTTTTGCAGTATTAACCTTTTTTTTTAATTCTCTGCAATAAAACCTTTACATAACTGTAATTATAGCTTCAAGTATATATGATGTCTTGCCTTCCATACTTAGCTTTATCATAAGTTTCCAACCCAGTGTAATAAAGATGAGCCAGCCACTAGCTATATATATAGTGGCCCAGAGTGCTCGTGATAGCATAGCAAGCACCACATACATTATACCAGATAACTATTTCAGTATAAATGTAATCTAAAAGCACCTATCACTCAGAAAAGCAAGTCCTTTATGACTTTATGCATCGTAGATATTTATGGATATAAAATGGTGAGGCAATAATAATTATAACACTGTATTTGAGAACTACTTAACAGGTCTGGGTAGGTTACAGCACTTACAGCTTTGTATTGTGGGTGCGAACGTTCAAAAGGCAAACTTTAATGTTATGTTACCCTACCCTATTTAACTATCTGAATACAAATATGGTGGTTACTTTGAAATAAAACCAGTAGACCATAATGGAAACACTTGCACATCTAACACAGCCGTAAGCCAACATTTTCAGTTAATGTATCCGACAAGGAATCTTCCCTCAAATTTTTGTAGTTGTATATGAATTATTAGTGCAGTCATCATGTTGACAGTCGCGCAGGTGTCCGCCATAATCATCACATGGCTTGGTATGTAAAGTATTTGTACAACCCTGACAGCAAAAATCGCCCTCGGCTGCCTCGAACTTTTACATTACTTCCTAACTAGAAAAAATCAATCACTGTCTCAAATTTATAATAATAAGCCGGGTCGTAGGCTGGTAAAACCTGTACACTAACTAAACACACACGGCAGGTAACGGCTTCAATAATAGCTATTGTACTACCCCACAAATATGGCCAAATTATTCATATTACAAGTAAGTTTCCCTCAATAAAGACAGCATAGAAATGTTTGATTTTTAATTACAAATCTTACACCACTAGTTTCTGTCCAGAGACCATTTTTGTGCTAACCAGTTATCTATGAATAAGAAACACTCTGACATCTTCTGGAGGTTTTAATATAAGTTTGTGTAACCCGTCAGTGATAGAAAAGATTTATCAGTAGATGTCTACAAAGTACAACTAAGTCATTGAACACAATTTGAACAAAAACCTTACAAAAACATCATGAGAAAAATAATGAAAATGACACATTAAAAATGGTAAATATATTCCAGCATTTTTTAGCTTGTTCATGAAAAATTTAACATGAGATATTTACCTGGACATAATTTTATTCTATTCCTTTAATTAATAGTTACTTTAATTGTGCTTAAAAAAGAAATAATTATGAAAGCTACCATTTCTGCTTTGTAAAGACTGACATGAACTCCCTTTCTATATTAATTGTCTTGTCTTCGCTGAAGACTTTTAAGCATGAGAAAGCTGTTTTTTGTCCTTGTATGGCCTCTGAAGAGCTCTCCGTGGTCGAGTGTTGTGTGTCAATGACTTTGTGTACCTTATGCCATCTATACCAGTAATGGATATAAAATTACCTTGAGTACCATATTTGAAATCTATAAATAATAAATTCTCTTAAACTCTTCAAAGAAGGTGCTAGACCTCGTTTAATGTCGGAACAAGGTAGGACAAACGTCCAAGGCCATATACAGACACATGATGCTAATCATTCGATGTCAGTGTAAGTTTAATTATATAGGATCATATTCCAGTAATGTGGTCAATTGAAAACACTCATAAAACGTTTGGATTGTTTCTAATTTAAATTTAATCCTTACATAATTTATCCTTTTGACCATATTAATGTTTGATCAATTTTCCCTTCCATAAATGTTATGTATTATACATATCCACAAAGTAATTGAAATCATTCAAATTTTACTTGCAAATGCAGCCATAAAGGAGAATTTTAAATTCTTTGAAAATATATAATTTCAGTGAGGATGTTTTCTAGAATTAAACTTTATCCTTAAAAAAATTACAACTTTGCATTAAAAAAAAAGAATCCCCTTTGCCTTCCTGTAAGTGGGAGACACACTATGAATATTTATAGGGGCTTACAGGGGTTTATAGGAGAGAGGAACCGTCAGGGGTTTATAGGAGAGAGGAACCGTCAGGAGTTTATAGGAGAGAGGAACCGCGGTTTATAGACTGTTTATAAGATACAGGGGCTGAAACTTTGGTTATACGGTAGGGGGGCTGTTTACAGGTGAAAACAGTGACAGTGTTGATGATCGAGTGTTAGCCACAGTGTTTTACCTGCAGGCCACACTAGAGCTAGAGGTGAGCTAACGATTAGTTACTGCCACCAGCTCTACATCTCTGCCACACTTGCTTCCTTGTGTATATCAGGCACCAGTCCACGGCCTGAGGATAACGACAGACACACCCTACTCCGCTTTTTATGTCTGACATTTAGCTAGTTTAGGATGTTTATGGGTCTGCAGTAAGGTGCATGCTCCCGTTCTTACAGGCCTTTTATAAGTTCAAGTCTTTTAAATGAATGCTTCAGGCATTCTAGCAGGCAGGAGATCATGTACTTCAAATAATTAAAAAAAATCATAAAGAGTTTTTTCGATCGCAATATATCGGTTTTTGTGTTTGCCTAGTTTTGTCTAACACTGTAGCACATGTTTGGTTTATAGCTAAATAATTGTATTGTATATATAGTTAAATATATAAGAAATAACATCCTATAAAGTATTCTACATTTTTTGCTGTTTTAAACAATTATTGTCTGTTTGAGAATGTTTGTGCGACTCTGTTCAGTGTAACTCATGGCAAGAACCAATTTTTTAGAAACACTTAGCAAGTGGATTTTAAAAGTATGTTTCCAAAGGTGAAATATGCTGGTCTTAAAAATTACTATATACATACTTCATAAAATTAATCTGTTATTATTTAATTGGTCTTGTAACAGAAACAAAGGTTTTTATGCCTGTCCTTATTTGATAATTAATAAAAATGTATACTGTGAATAAAGTAATATACATATACAAATGTAGTATAAATAATGCTGCACTCATTTGTCCGGCAAGTAGTAAATTTATACTAGCTTGTGAATACAGATGGACGAAACCAGTACTGGCCCAGGGCCATCGGACCTGAGATTCAAATCTAATGGCCCGGAGGCCAAAGGAGGCCTTTGGACGCTGGATTTTTCTTTCCCTGTTAAAGATATATATATCCTTCAATCTTTTCGAGTCCCATCTCTCCTCCTCACCACACTCGCCTGACCCTGATAAACGGCTTCCCTAGTGACCATCCGATTGGAATTTGCCTCGTCTCGGGTCGCATGGTGTAAAATAAACATAGCTGGGTACATCTAAATAAAGCCATCGAGAACACCGCAATCCCCACAATTACAGTCAGGTCACCCGGTTCTTGTGCAGTCTAACGTCAAATAAGAACCGTTCAGGAAACACTTTATAGTTTTTTGATAAAATTATAACCAGTATGCTGCTACCATGCTTTTTTAATTGCCTGAAAGTTAAAATCACATGGTATGGTTTTGTAGGGGGTAATTACTGTAGGGTCTGAACCCAAAGGACAGCCCATTTTCACCTGATAAGGTCAATTATCCCAATAGATTATCCCTCATTTCCTATGTTGTGGTTCATTTGAGGTTAGGAAGAAGGTAAAGACAAGGAAAGTTGATAAACGAAAGTTGCTAAACGTCACAGTATAGACTGGTTCTGGGTGAGCGAGTTCCTGGCTAGAGGCTACAGACTGCAGTGTGATATTGTAGCTGTTGTGTAAAGACCACCTCAGACAGTCTCAGTAGAGCACTAGTGTACAGCAAACACGTGTACATACCACAGGATCATTTGGTAAAGTTTTATGGTGGAATTTGTTTTAAAATTATTGAAATTCTAGGCTTTTTATTGACTAATACATGTAAAATAATATCCATCTACCAGTGCATTTAAATGTGTCAAAACAACCATTGTGATGTTGACAAGCTGACTGGGAGCTTGTCCATGTCGTTAGTAGTGGACGCTGTATATTGATCTGTTGATTAATTGATTGCTTGTATACTTTCAGACTGATGCATGGGACTGGTCCTACCCTAACACCATGGTGGCTTATGGGCGGCACTATGAAACACCAACTTCAGCATGACAGACATAATGACACTCAACTACCTCTTTTTTCTTGGAATTGTTATACCGTGTATAATCACTGTCACCCTCTTCATTGTATTTATATTGTGCTGGAACAAATACAGACTACGTAAGGAAATCATGACCAAAAAATTTGACCCCCACAAGAAGTTACGATCAGGGAAAGAGGCTTACAAAGTGCCCCGTCCTCCCTTACCCCCCAAATGGATCCACAGGACATCCAAATCCCAAGATGTACAAAGTATCTTACCACACCACAACAAAGCTTTCGACGTGAGTCCCGACACACCGGGAGATGACACGAGGCACATGTACAACACATTCCATGACAGTGGTATGTCTGAACTCAGTGAGATCCAGTATAGGTTTGAGAGGCAGCGTCCTCATTCTCAAGCTTCTACAGACTCAGAGGACTCTGGCTTTAGGAGTTCCAGGTCTGGACAATACTTACACAGCGCCCAAAATAGTAACGCACAGGAACTACCCCTGTTCAAACCCTTAGATAACATATCTCAACCACAAACTGTTAATATTCCCCCAAACTGTGATAATGTACGAATTTCTAGTCGCAGGTCAAGACGGAAAAGTAGGTCTCCGGCCAATCAGCGGACTAGACAGGAATGTCCGGCCAATCAGAGGACAAAACAGAAATGTGTTGATGTGAATGAGATTCTAAAGGATATTAAATCACAACCATTATCAGTGATATCTCCACAAATGGGGCAACTGACGGTAACCATGGCAACAGTGCACCACCCTAACATTGAGGACCGGGGTGCGGCTATGGCGTACTCTGTTGTGTAGTGTTGATATACAGTGATATATAATTATGTGTAGTATGTGCAAATATTGTCCAGGAGAACTTTTCGAAGCGTTGTGATTATATATCTTATACAACCAAAACCAGTGATTTTTGTTGCTGTTTTTCAATGGGATTTATCAAAAAGTGTGTTCAATTGATGGTGTAAGCTATAAGATGACCATCAATGTAGGAATTGGTGATACAATCACAGATCCTGAGAGCTGTCGACCCTGGCCAGACTGACCCTGCAAATCCAACAAAGATTACCGAGGACTTGTGATACAGGAGTGTTCTGACATGGTCAGGGTTTGTAGGTGTCGGAATGGACAGGGTTTGTTTGTATTCTGTAGTTATATAATGTATATGTGTGTTAGAGTGTTCCTTTGTGTAGTCTACCACCCTACTGAACCATTTACAAGTGCTGAGTGATCATGTTGAGAAATAAAAACATTGTGCTATGTCATAGTTTGAAAATATCATCAAGAAAGTATTTCAATTTTGTGAAGAAGATTATATCTTTTTGTTTAGATATTAGGTTGAGTGCCGAATCTCCCGTATCATAGAATTGCCCAGACATTTTACTGAGCTCTTTGTCATCTTACACAGTAAGTCATCGTGTGTTGTCAATTTCTACAATTTTGTTCAAGAAATTCTACAAAACCTGAAATCCTAGTGCTGGTTCAGGCTTCAGTCCATAGTAACAAGGTATTAATGTTTATCAAAATATTCGCAAATACACCTTATTTTACCACCAGATTATACAGGGAGGATTGTTACTGGTCTGGGTGTGTAGTTCTGATAACCAGATTATACAGGGCGGATGGTTACTGGTCTGGGCGTGTAGTTCTGATAACCAGATTATACAGGGAGTATTGTTACTGGTCTGGGTGTGTAGTTCTGATAACCAGATTATACAGGGAGGATTGTTACTGGTCTGGGCGTGTAGTTCTGATAACCAGATTATACAGGGAGTATTGTTACTGGTCTGGGTGTGTAGTTCTGATAACAAGATTATACAGGGAGGATGGTTACTGGTCTGGGCGTGTAGTTCTGATAACCAGATTATACAGGGAGTATTGTTACTGGTCTGGGTGTGTAGTTCTGATAACAAGATTATACAGGGAGGATGGTTACTGGTCTGGGGGTGTAGTTCTGATAACCAGATTATACAGGGAGGATGGCTACTGGTCTGGGTGTGTAGTTCTGATAACCAGATTATACAGGGAGTATTGTTACTGGTCTGGGTGTGTAGTTCTGATAACAAGATTATACAGGGAGGATGGTTACTGGTCTGGGGGTGTAGTTCTGATAACCAGATTATACAGGGAGTATTGTTACTGGTCTGGGTGTGTAGTTCTGATAACAAGATTATACAGGGAGGATGGTTACTGGTCTGGGGGTGTAGTTCTGATAACCAGATTATACAGGGAGGATTGTTACTGGTTTGGGTGTGTAGTTCTGATAACCAGATTATACAGGGCGGATGGTTACTGGTCTGGGCGTGTAGTTCTGATAACCAGATTATACAGGGAGGATTGTTAGTGGTCTGGGTGTGTAGTTCTGATAACCAGATTATACAGGGCGGATGTTTACTGGTCTGGGTGTGTAGTTCTGATAACCAGATTATACAGGGAGTATTGTTACTGGTCTGGGTGTGTAGTTCTGATAACAAGATTATACAGGGAGGATGGTTACTGGTCTGGGGGTGTAGTTCTGATAACCAGATTATACAGGGAGGATGGCTACTGGTCTGGGTGTGTAGTTCTGATAACCAGATTATACAGGGCGGATGTTTACTGGTCTGGGTGTGTAGTTCTGATAACCAGATTATACAGGGAGTATTGTTACTGGTCTGGGTGTGTAGTTCTGATAACCAGATTATACAGGGCGGATGGTTACTGGTCTGGGCGTGTAGTTCTGATAACCAGATTATACAGGGAGTATTGTTACTGGTCTGGGTGTGTAGTTCTGATAACCAGATTATACAGGGAGGATTGTTACTGGTCTGGGTGTGTAGTTTTGTTGACTGCTATTTTTATACAAAAAGCAACAACTAGAGAACATTTAACAACTGTAATTAAAACTCTTATAAACAAGTGTAATGTTTTCAGATGACATATACAATTTGTTCAATTTAACATATTTTTTAAAAGATTTTTAAACTTGATCTTACAACCCCCCCATTTTGTTCTCCTTGAGTTTGTTGTAAAGAACAACACAGGGTGTTAATTCATGAGCATGTTACCAATGTAATAATCAATTATGAGATTTTTAAAGAGACTGCAGATAGAATTTCAATCCTTTGTCAGCTAACATTTGATACATAAGACTGTGACCAGGTGATCAATCATATCCCCAATAGATTCATCCCCAACTTTCCTTATATCTGCCTGTTTACCATTTCCACAAATCCTCCAGTGTTGATAGTGGACTGGCCCGGATCAAAGGAAGAAGAAGTGTTAAAAATGTGTTTTGGGGGAAGCAAGGTAATATGTAGGGTAATACAAACTCCTGCGAAGGAAAGTGAACAGCTGAGCTGTCGTAATAAGGTAAACTATCAATGATTTGGTTGTGTAAACATCACAATGGACCTTGTGAATATTGCAGTGTAGACAATATTTATTCATAGACTCTGAATTCCATTTATATTACACAATGTGATCCAAGAAGGAAATTTAGTATAAAGTGTCTGTTTGGTTGAAGTTTAATGTATAATTTGCTACTAAGAACGGGAATTTAACACAATGGTATACAACTGTCCTGGTCACCTTCCAATACAACATGGTTTACAGAAGGCAGTCACAGTGTTACAGCACAGTTATTCACATTTTTTAACAATTTCAACAGTTTAAAAAATGATTGAAGGATATTTAATGAAAAAGTTACATTTTTATTCTGCTATGTTTACCATGAAGCACAATTTTTACTTGAAAAACCTTCAACTGTTTTCATTTATAAACTACATAGGTAGTTATAACATGTAAAATATTTTTAAAAAAAATCAGTTTATAAAGAAACAAGGAGATATCATGAAGAAATATATTTACTATCTTACAAAATATAGCAATATTTGACAAAATGTATGGTAAAAGACATTTTTATGAACTACCTTGCTGTCAAATGGTTACCTTAACATTCCAGCTAAAACAGTCTGTTAGAACCACTTCCCATAGCTACTAATGCTAGTTGATCGTCGGTACTCCGTAAACCTGACAGAATTTGTGTTAAACACACCTTCAACATTACTGTTCACAAATTTTACTGTACAAACTGTTTTCAGTGTTTTTATTATTTATATGAAATCTGTTGTATGTTCTAGCTTCAAAATGAAGCCTAAAGAAAATAAAGAAATTAAAAAAAACATATTTCCTTTGTTTTCTTTAAATACATATTTTCTTTCCAAATACTACATAGTACATTTGTATGTGTTTAACATCCCAATAAGTGGGTATACCCTGACAGGAACAAACCAAACGGGGAAATACAGGACAGAATATTCATGTAACGAAAGCCAACAATCCAAAAAGGGAATCATTTAGTTGTTGAGCTACTGTCTTCCTTATGAAACATTGAAAGAACTGTACATAAATTTTACAAACATATCTGCAGATCTTTTGTCCAGACTTTACCTGCCTGAGTTCTGAATCACGAACTCACTTCACATTTCAAAAAAGCATTTACTTGAGTTCTAAGTTTACATTAGGACTTGAATACCACCTAATGTCTAGCTGTTAAGTCTACATAATGGTGCACACATAACTCTTCAAGTGACTTTAAAAATATAGAATATGTTTAATACAGGTATTATCCTACATGTGTACATGTTTGTATAGTGTGCTGTTATCCCACAGTATAAAACGCTCTCCCTCACTGATGACAAGTATTGGTGACCTACGAGATCAAAGCTTCCCTAAGACCCTGAGTGACCCCTGTTTTATGTAGGTGATCCCTATTGCAGAGTTATGACAATGCTACACCACTGTTATGACTTCTAGACACTCCTATTCAGGGTCATTACACTGGTCCCACATCAATAACTACACCAAAATGGATTTCTCTTCTTCACAAAAGATTTAGAAATAATCATGATTTATAACATGATATATGAGGATAAGGTATTCATTTCTATTATGACAGCTTGTAGCTGGGAATTGTAAGTGTATAAACCCTAACTTCTGGCCCAGTGGATACAAGGTAACACACGGAGGAGTGTGGACAACATCCACTCTGATTTCCAGCCTGTAATATCTGGTCTCAATGAGGGCTGGCCAGGTTAATCACCAGATTATGGAAAGTATCCTGTCAATAGATACAGCTACCTGTATGATAAACAGACCCCTGCTGAGTCTGGCCCATAAAATCATCTCTGAATAAAGTCACAAAATTGGCATAATAATAAAACCATTTCATGTATGGAATCACAAAACAAGCCATTAATGTCTGATAAAATGAGGTCTCGCAGATTCCGTGTAAATCACTCATGTTTTCAATATTTCAAGGCAAAATTTTAAGTGGACAGCATTTTTATGAATTTCAACAGAAAGCCTAACACCTGAGAACGTAAGATATGACACCTCCTCCTATATTTACTGATAACAGACAACACAGCACATAGACAATCAGTGTTTTACTTTGGTGTAGATAATTTCATTACTATATCAGCGTGGAATGACTTTCAGAGATATCTGTTATGCAATTTGTAGGTGTTGGTTGGATTTCATGCGGAGGTGCTCGTTTGATTTTATTTGGAGGTCTGTGTTTGTTTGATTTTATTTTTAAGTATTCAGCTGATTTTATAAGAAATAATTATTACATTATCAATGTAATAACATTAGTTTGTAACTGAATGTGAGCTTCTTTTCTGATTTTGTTAAAGATATCTCAAAATTTAATTTACAGGATATAATGTTGTGGAGTATTGAGTAATATATAATGGTTTCTCCATTTCACACCTGTTTTTAACTTTATCATAAATAACCACATGTGGTACAGAACACAATTAGTAGATACCATCTTATCCTGATCGGTGAACAAAGTCTCTCTCTATTTCTAATTTGATATAAAGTGGCCATGCATATCTATCATCAAAGCTCCAGGCAATGTAAACCATAATAATCAGACCAATCTAGATCATAAGAAAGTTTGATCTGATAAGGCATCATATTGACCAATGCTTACATTATACTGACCATGATCTTGCAATAATATGCAATCTAGTTTGTGGATCAAAGAGAAAACGCCACACATGAAAAAGCTGTCTGACCTGCAGTATTACATGGACCAGGCCAGCTGGTTTGATGTAGAAGATAAGGGAGGACTGGACAGACAAGTATGACCAGCAGGTGTATAAACAACCTTTACTCTATAGTGGTCAATTGTTTATGGTGAATCAGGAGGTCACTTAATTAAGTTAATAGATATTCAGATTGGTATTGATTTATGTATGAAACATATATTTATATGATATCTGAAGGTAGAAGTAACACACAGAAAAAGTGTTTGATTATTAATTTAAACATCTTCATGAAGATGTAGATATATAATTGTAAAATTAATGAAATGTAAAATCTGAGATGTCCTCGGTAAGAGGCACAGATCCACCAGGTGGTTAGACAGAGTCATGACTTATGGCCAATAGCTTGCTGGAATGGTGTGCAATGTATGGAAAGAAATGACCTTGCCTTATCAAGGTCAAAGGTTCTGACAAAAAACTCAACCAACATCTTCTGAAGAAACAAAAGGCCATGAGTTGTGTTATTTGTCCAGTTGCTTGGGAAATGTTTTGTTTTAACACATTTCACCTATATGACATTGAATATTGGTTGTGGTCATTTCTTTAAGTCAATAGTGAAGCACTCCATGCCAGCAAGATACTGGCTAAATATCATAATCCAAGCCTATTTGTTCTTCAGAAGAAGTAAGCTAAACATTAACAAATTTGACTCCTGGGACTTTGATTATAGATCAAGGTCATTTTTTTCTTGCAAACTTTGTAGAACTCTTTGCCACCAACAGGTAAAACATCATGAATCTTTGCCCTATTCTTCTTAAGAAAAAATAACAAATTTGGCCTCTGTGACCTTGACAGTAGGTCAATGTCAATTTTTATCACCAACTTTGTAGAACCTACTCCTGGCCAGCAAGTTACTGACCGTACACCGCTACTTCAGGAGAAGTCGTTTGATTATAAGTACTTTAAAAAAACTTTAATAAGTCAAGGTTATTTATATCTGGAAAAATTGTAGCACTCTACGCCAGCAGGCTACAGGGCAACTATTTCAATTCTTGGCCTTTCAATTCTTCACATTTACATATTTGACCCTATGGTAACTTCAAAAGTAAGTCAAAGTTATTTCTTCCACAAGCTTGTTGGACTTCATCCCAGAAAGATACCTGCCAAATTTCATGATCCTATGCGCCAAATGGTTCTTCAGAAGAAGTTTTTCAAAGGAAAAGTTGACAGTGGAAGGACAGACAGAGAGATGATGCCCCACAGCACAAGCTTGCTATTTATTTAGGCCAGATGAGATTTAAACAAAATATGTGATTATATGAACCTAAAAGGTGGTATTGACCTCCACTTTGTCTTGGTCAATATCTCTTTCTGGAGTCTATATAACTACATATTCACCTTAAGAATAGTATATAACTGATAATTATTTTGCTGCAAAATAAATTACTGAAGATTGTTTCTGAATCTAGTTAGTAAAAGATGAGTGTTTAACCAGAGAGCTATCTAAATTGTTCAGGTACAAGTTATTGGAGATATCGGAAGACAATCCACAAATTATTAGAGATATCGAAGGACAATCACTAGTTGACAGTAGCATGCTGTACTCAAGATAACTCTTATCAATACATCTGATATTAAACCTACAAAATGTGAATTATCAAATAGCCAGCAGATAACCACAGGTCAGCCCTGTACACACTCCTTGATCCCTCTACAAACCAACTCAATCCTGTGTACACAAAAGATGAAAGACAGTAAATCCCCTCTGTCAGGGTATAAAGATAAATCAGCCCATTACGACCTGCACATTGATACGCTCTGTGTACACTATATAACCTTCAGCTTTGTTTTTATATCCATGGCGATGATTTCATTTGATATTCATCCCTGATTAAAACATCCATTATAAAGATGGAGCAGGATTCAGGAAATCTGACAGACATTTTTAACAACTTAAATCTTCAATCATATGGCCTGCAATTGTTAGCCGGTGTTTAAAAGATAGTTTGATATTTAAATTGTGTAGCACTTCGTCAAATGTTATCCATCTTAATTAATTATACAGAAATAAGGAGATAAAGAGAAATAAAAATATATTTCCTGCTTGAAAATACGGACATTCATCAATTTGGCTTTTCTGTAAAAATCATGTACAATTATGATTTCCCCCCCAAAGTTACAAAGGTCAACATTCATTTTGTCCATTTCAATGCCAAACACACGGGAGGTGGCTATTGTGTACATTCATTACTGGTTTTCATGGCGTTGATATTGCTTACACTAATTGGTTATCTCCGTATCGTGTACAATGACAGTAATAGACCCTAGCTATAGTATCAATAAACGCCCAGTATTTACACAAAGCTGTCATCTTTGTCTCAGGATGACCGCCCCTAATTTGTGACGTGTCCAGCTAAGACTAACAATGAGCTATTTAGGGACCCTTCTGTCCTTCTGTCCACTACTGGACGTTCAAGTGCTAAGGTCTGCTCTCCAGCGAGCCATCATCAGCCATTTGTCACGAGAGGGGGCAGATTTGTCACCTGTCTCGAGTAGCGATCCATCACTGGTCCTCTCCCTACCTAATGGTCCTTACTCACCATTCACCCAATCCCACCAAAAACACCTACAATATCCTCATTTTCTGGTTCACTGCCAGTTTAATTTTTTAACAGCTTTTGTAGATGGCCATAGTACTTCACTGGACATTTGACCACTGCTGCCTGACCCAGCATCTGACCACTTGACCAGTCCAGCCTTGAGATTTGTCTTTCAGCATAGAGGTATAAATGAACGAGTACTTTACAAATAAAAAAGCCCTCCACAGTGCAGAAAATAAATTTGCAGAATTCACAAAGGAGAGAATGTGTCAACAGCTGGTAGAGTTGTCTCAATATGTGACGGTTACCTGGGCGCCAGATACATTCGTGGATAATTAGCTGTGGGTTGTGTCTCAGTGACGCCACAATTATTTTAAAACGACGATTATTGAGTCTGGAAATGTGGCCATGATGAAGTGTAGGAATGATTTCATTGCCATTTTATAGGTGTTTTACATTTATACAGACAAATCAATTCTTGATTTGTTCTGTATTTCATTCAAGCATTACAT